TGCAGGGACCCACTCACAGGTCATACTGTCCTGTTTCCCTAGTTGCCAGCACCCCACACATGCACTGTGTCTGTGCTCCGGTGCAGATGGCTAGGGCTGGGTGTTTAGCAGTCCTGGGCTCCCTCTCCCTCCCTGCTCCAACTCCTCTCCTCCCGCTGGGAGCTGGAGTGAGGGGTGTTTGGGTCCCTCTGGGCTGGGGCTTGTATCTTACCCCCTTCATGAGATGCTGGGTTCTTGCAGGTGTGGATGTAGTCTGGCTGTTGGCCTGTGTCTTCTGGTCTCTCTTTTAGGATTAGCTGTATTTGTCATATTTTCAAAAGTATATATGGTTTTGGGAGGAGATTTCCACTGCTCTACTCACACCACCATCTTGGTTCTACCTACAAGACACTCGAGAGAAATTAAAGAAGATACCAATAAATGGAAACACATCCTGTGCTCATGGATAGAAAGAATTAATATGGTCAGAATGGCCATCTTGCGTGGGAATGTAAGCTAGTTCAACCATTGTGGAGAGCAGTATTTAAGTTCCTCAAAAAACTAAAAATAGAATACCATTTGACCTGGGAATCCCACTCCTTGGAATTTACCCAAAGAATACAAATTCTCAGATTCACAAAGACATATTCACCCCTATGTTTATCACAGCACTTTTTATAATAGCCAAGATATGGAAGCAACCTAAGTGTCCATCAATAGATGAATGGATAAAGAAGATGTGGTACATATACACAATGGAATACTATTCAGCCATAAGAAAGAAACACTACCATTTGTAACATCATGGATGGACCTGGAGGACATTATGTTCAGTGAAATTAGCCAGGCAGAGAAAGACAAGTGCCAAACAATTTCCCTCATTTGTGGAGTATAACAATGAAGCAAAACTGAAGGAACAAAATAGCAGCAGACTCAGAGACTCCAATAATGGAGCAGTGGTTATCAAAGGGGAGGAGTGTGGGAGGATGGGTGGGGAGGGAGTCAGAAAGGGATTAAGGGGTATTATGTTTATTACACAGTGATCCCACACTGTGTGGGGATCACTGGGATAACAGTGTAGCACAGAGAAGGCAAATACTGAATCTCTGCCATCTTACTACGCTGATGGACTGTGACTGCATTGGGGTGGGTAAATGTAGTAACCACATTGTTTCTTCATGTGAAACCTTCACAACAGTATATATCAATAATACCTTAATAAAAAATTTAAAACAAACATGTATAATATATTAGATTTTCCCTAAAACTGCTTATGAAATTAAATATATGATTTTAGCTCATATTTCTTTTCTGTACAGGAAGAGTACAGTTTTAAAAATGTGATTATCTGTCATTTTTATTTCTTCTATAAAGTGCCCATACTCCCTCCCCCCAAAAAAAAGAAAAGAAAAAAAGTCTCACAAACACATGGAAGCTTAACAATATGCTCTTAAATAATCAATGGATCAATGACCAAGGTAAAACAGAGATGAAACAATTTATGGAGACAAATGAAAACTACAGCACAATGCCCGAACTTCTCTGGCACACAGCAAAGGCAGTTTTAAGAGGAAAGTATATAGCAATCCAGGACTATTTAAAGAAGGGAGAAAAATCCCAAATGAATAGTCTAAATTCACAGTGATTTAAACGGGATAAAGAAGAACAAGTGAAGCCCAAAGTAGAAGGAGAGACATAATAAAGATCAGAGAAGAAAAAAATAAAATTAAGAATAATAAAACAATAGAAAAAATGAATGAAACCAAGAGCTGGTACTTTGAGAAAATAAAATACATAAACCCATATTATGACTTATTAAGAAAAGGCCAGCTTAGATATCTCCTTCTTCATTCCAATGGCAAGTCCAGGAACCAGCGGGATGAATGCAGCTACAACTGCAACAGTGCCAGGATCTTTGTTGAAGTTTTCTGATGATCATCTTCTGGAATGACTCTTCCAGAGGATGTTGATGTTGGAAGTTCTTCGTATCATATCTTAATTCATTTTCTGGGTAGCCAAATTAGGCTTTGATCCTCTGTATAAACACAAACAAACCCTTTGCCCACACTTTGATATGACCTTTATACCATTGTGAAGAACCTATTGTAGACCACCACACAAGAAATGCTTTTTTTTTAAGAGAGAGAAATATTATCAGAAAAATGTACTTCCATAGCTGATCATCTGACACCCTTTAAAAGATCAAAATTAAGGATATGTAAAGCATGCATTAATCGTTGATTTGCAGTTAATTTTATCCTATCAGGGAGTAATTCCCCCTCTTTTTTTGTTATCATTAATCTACAATTACATGAAGAATATTATGTTTATTAGGCTCTCCCCTACAGCAAGACCCCCCACAAACCCCATTACAGTCACTGTCCATCAGCATAGCAAAATGTTGTAGAATCACTACTTGTCTTCTCTGTGTTGCACAGCCCTCCCCTTTCCCCCACCCCCCACATTATACATGCTAATAATAATACCCCCTTTCTTCCTCCCCACTCCTATCCCTCTCTACCCTCCTATTCTCCCCAGTCTCTTTCCCTTTGGTAACTGTTAGTCCCTTCTTGGGTTCCGTGATTCTGCTGCTGGTTTGTTCCTTCAGTTTTTCCTTTATTCTTATACTCCACAGATGAGTGAAATCATTCGGTATTTGTCTTTCTCCACTTGGCTTATTTCACTGAGCATAGTACCCTCTACCTCCATCCATGTTGTTGCAAATGGTAGGATTTGTTTTCTTCTTATGGCTGAATAATATTCTATTGTGTATATGTACCACATCCTCTCCATCCATTCATCTCCTGATGGATCTCTAGGCCGCTTCCATTTCTTGGTTATTGTAAATAGTGCTGCAATAAACACAGGGGTGCATCCGTCCTCCTCAAATTGGAGCACTGCATTCCCAGGGCAAACTCCCAGAAGTGGAATTCCTCGGTTAAATGTAAGTCTATTTTGAGCATTCTGAGGAACCTCCATACTGCTTTCCACAATGGCCGAACTAATTTACATTCCCAGCAGCAGTGTAGGAGGGTTCCCCCCTCTCTACAACTTCACCAACATTTATTGTTGTTTGTCTTTTGGATGGTAGCCATCTTTACTGGTGTGAGGTGATATCTCATTGTGGTCTTAATTTGCGTTTCTCTGATAACTAGCGACGTGGAGCAGCATCTTCCCATGCATCTGTTGGCCATCTGAATTTCTTCTTTGGAGAAGTGTCTGTTCAGCTCTTCTGCCCATTTTTTAATTGGATTATTTGATTTTTGTTTGTTGAGGTGCTTGAGCTCCTTATATATTCTGGATGTCAAGCCCTTATCGGACCTGTCATTTACAAATACATTATCCCATACTGCAGGGCACCCCCTTGCTCTATTGATGGTGTCCCCCACTGCACAGAAGCTTTTCAGCTTGATATAGTCCCACTTGTTCATTTTTGCTTTTGTTTTCCTTGCTTGGGGAGATATGTTCATGAAGAAGTCGCTCATGTTTATGTCCAAGAGATTTTTGCCTATGTTTTTTTCTAAGAGTTTTATGATTTCATGACTTACATTCAGGTCTTTGATCCATTTCAAATTTACTTTTGTGTATGGGGTTTGACATTGGTCCAGTTTCATTCTCTTACATGTAACTGTCCAGTTTTGCCATTGACTTACTTTTTAATATAAAAATTACTTATACAGGTATCTTAAATTTCCTTGTGGAGAAATGGATTTCAGCTAAGCCTTTGTTAATTTTCTAATTCTCTAGAATAGAAACTAGGGACCATGGCATGTCTTTTGTTTTCTGAAAGGTTTTAAGAAGTCATGTAAATCTTCCCCTTGACCTAACAGCAACCCATCTTTATTCACCCGAGGATCTAGTACATTATGAATCCCTAATGAGGCAAAAGGGGTTAGCTGTGAATGAAAGCTTCAATTTCTAGTTTTTCTCCAGAAGGAACTACCTAACATTCAATAATGAAAGAGATGATATAAAATGTTTCCAGTCACTGCACACACTGCTGTCATATGATCTCTACTACACAATTATGAAAATAAAGAAAAGTAATAAAAGCAGCTCTTATTTAACACACTTTCAATATAGGCAGACACTATTCTAAGGAATATAATGTACAGCTGACCCTTGAACAATACAATTTGAACTATGTGGGTCCACTTAAAGATAGATTTTTTCAATATAATGGAGCTTTTTGGAGATTTGTGATGATTGTAAGAAACATTTTGGTTTCTAGCTTACTTTACTGAAAAATACAGTATGTAATACATATAACATGGCAAAATATATGTTAAATGACCATGACCAGTAGGGCTTCTCATGAACAGTAGGCTATTTGATTAAGTTTTGGGGGGTCAAAAGTTATATGTGGATTTTCAACTGGGTGAGTCAGTGCCCCTCAATCTTACAGTGTTCAAAGATCAACTGCAATTAATCCTCACAATGATGCTACGAAGTAAAAATATTACTAAACTATAATTGAGGAGAGTTAAACATAGTTAAGCAATTTCCCCATAAGAAATGAGTCATAATGGTTAAGGTAGGATTGTTTAATCCTTTCAGACTCTGATTCAGTTGAGGTTAATTTTAGAGAGATTGCAAATATTTTACAAGATTTGAGTGGGATTGAAGAATTTGTGGCATTTTTAACATTAGTCTCCAAGTATGAATAATCAGATGCATAACTTGTTAGGTAAAGAAATTTTTGCTATACATATATATACATACATACATATATGACATTTATATTATGGATCCTTTGATTTCTCACTTTTCTTACCTTCATGGAGTTTTTCACCAAGTGAACCCTGATATCTAATAAATGCTGAAACACAACTCCTCTCAATTCCTAACACTTCTAGGGTTTCTCATCCAAAACAAATGTCCAATGATTTCTGGCTTTAAATTCTGAGCCTTCCCATGTCTTCATTCACTCATTTGTCCTGTATGAATTTTTTGATGTTGAGTAAGCTGTGAGCCATGAATAAAGGCTTTTCCACATTGCTTACATTCATAGGGTTTCTCACCAGTATGGATTTTCTGGGGTCGACTAAGTTCTGAGCCACCACCAAAGGCCTTCCCACATTCATTACACTCATAAGGTTTTTCACCTCTATGACTTCTCTCGTGGTAAGTTCTGACCTTCGAATAAAAGCCTTCCCACATTCCTTGCATTTATGGGGTCTCTCACCAGTGTGAAATTTTTGATGTCGAATAAGTTCTGTATTACAAATAAAAGCCATTCCACAGTCCCTACATTTATAGGGTTTCTCACCAATGTGAGCTCTCTGATGTTGAGTAAGTTCTGAGCCACGATGAAAGGACTTCCCACATTCTTTACATTTATAGGGTTTTTCACCAGTATGAACACTCTGATGTCGAATAAGATGTGAATCAGAGATAAAAGCTTTCCCACATTCCTTACATTTATGAAGTTTCTCAGCAGTATGAATTCTCTGATGTAGACTCAGTTGTGAGGCACAACTATATACCTTCCCACATTCCCTACCTTCATAGTGTCTTTCACCAGTATGAATTATCTGATGCAGACTAAGTTGTGTGTCATAACAAAAGCTTTCCCACATTCCTTACATTTATGGGGTTTCTCCCCAGTATGGATTCTCTGATGTCGAAGGTGTGAGGGACGGGTAAAGGCTTTCTCACATTCTTCATATTCATAGTATTTCTCATCAGTATGAATTCTCTGGTGTAAATTAAGTTGTGAAGTAGATGGAAAGGCCTTCTCACACTCCTTACATTTATAGGGTTTCCCACCTGTATGAATCCTTTGATGCTTACTAAGTTGTGAGCTAGAATGAAAGGCTTTCCCACATTCCTCACATTTATGAGGTTTCTCACTTGTATTAACAGCCTGAGATTTAGTAATTTCAGAGCCACAATTTACGGCACATTTCTTATTTTCATTCTGATGCTTAATCAGGTTTGACCTATTGTTAAAGGCTTTTACACATTCTCCACATTTAGAGTCTTTTTCCTTATGACTTTTTTCATATTCAGTATGGTGTGACTGGTATTTGAAAGCTTCCCTACATTCCTTGCATCCAGCAGATTTTAATCCAGAATGAACTATCTGAGGTACTCTATGAACCGTGCACTGAGGGGAAGTGGACCTTTCTCCAGAGGTTATTACAGCTTGTCTGAAATGTCCCTCCTGTTGTCTTGCCAACTGGCATTTGATTTCTCTGTTATTTCTGACTCTAGTGCACTCGAGATTAAACTTTGTAACTTTTGTTGTCTCTGGTTGCAGTGATTTAGTTTTGTAACTGTCCTCCTTTGGAAATAAATTATTGGTTTCTCTTCTGAACTCCCAATCTGTAAGATAACAAGAAATAAAACGGGGTATTTTCACATTGCAAGTGAAAGTTCAAAGTATAAATGGTGAACTAAAAATAGTAACTTAAACAGCTCTTAACACTGCATTGAAATTTGAAGAAAAAAGGAGGGAAGCGGGTGAAGGAAGTGGTTCTTCACCTCTGGTGAAAATCATAATCAGCTGAGGAACTTGTTAAAAATAGATGTCCAGGAAACACCTATGACCAATGAGAATCTAAAGGAGGAGGATGTTATATCTAACAGCAAGTCCTCTCATCTCTAGATTCAAAATATATCCAGATTTCGTCTATTCGCCCTACTGGTGTCTCTACCACCCTGTGCAAAGACATCCCTCACCAAGATTAATACACTTTCCTAATAGTTCTCCCTACTTTTACTGTTGTCCTCCTAATATCCCATACCCAACAAAGTAGCCAGAGTTTTCCTATTAAAATAAGTTAGATCATGCCATTCTTCTGCCTAAATCCTTCACTGGATTTCCCTTTCATGTAGAGTAAAAGTCAAATCCTTATGTGGTCTGCAAAGCCTTCCCTGAACTTTTCATGCACTACCTCTTTCTCACCTCATTGTCCTTCTCCTCCCTTTAGCTGACTGCTCCAGCTACTTGACCAACTGGATGTTCTTCAAACTTGCCAAACACACTCCTCCTTCAGAATCTCTGACAGTAAATATCTCCTCTATGATATCAATATAGATCACTGAATTTCTTCATTCTGATCTCTATTCAAATCCAACTTAAGAGACCACTCTACAAAACAGGACCTTTGTCACTCTATCTTTTTTCAGTGCACTTAAAATCACGTTATTTTATATATTTCCCTAACATTATTATGAAAAATTTCAGACACAGAAAAGTTAAGAGATCTGGATGATGAACTCCCATATTCTCATTAGATTCTCCAATAAGCATTTGGATTTACTTGTCTTATCACATATCTGTCTATATCCGTCCATCAACCCATCTTTCAGACATCAATGCCCTTCAACTCTAAACTCAGTAGCGTGTATTATGCTTCACTTCTGTAAGCAAATACTTAAAATACATAAAACAGTGTAGGAGGGTTCCACTTTCTCTGCATCCTTGTCAGCATTTGTTGTTGGTCTTTTGGATGTTGACCATCCTAACTGGTGTGAGGTGATATCTCATTGTGGTTTTAATTTGCATTTCCCTGATAATTAGTGATGTGGAGCATCTTTTCATGTGCCTGTTTGACATCTGAATTTCTTTGCAGAAGTGTCTGTTCATATCCCCCACCCATTTTTTAATTGGGTTATTTGCTTTTTGGGTGTTGAGGCATGTGAGTTCTTTATATATTTTGGATATTAACCCCTTGTCTGATATGTCATTTTCAAATATATTCTCCCACACTGTAGCATGGTTTTTGTTCTAGTGATGGTGTTGCTTGCTGTACAGAAGCTTTTTAGTTTGATGTAGTCCCATTTGTTCATTTTTGCTTTTGTTTCCTTTACCTGAGAGGATGTGTTCATGAAAAAGTTGCTCATGTTTATATTCAAGAGAATTTTGCTTTGTTGAAGAGGATGTCATTTCCCCATTGTATATACATGGCTCGTTTATCATATATTAATTGAACATATATGCTTGGGTTTATATCTGGGCTTTCAATTCTGTTTCATTGTTTTATGGGTCTGTTCTTGTGCAAGTACCAAATTATCTTGATTATTGTGGCTTTGTAGTAGATCTTGAAATTGGGGAGTGTAATTCCCCCAGATTTGTTCTTCCTTATCAGGATTGCTTTGGCTATTTGGGGTCTTTTGTGATTCCATATGAATGTTAGAACTATTTGTAGTTGGTTGAAGAGTACTGTTGATATTTTGATAGGGATTGCATTGAATCTGTAAATTGCTTTAGACAGGATGGCCGTTTTGAAAATACTAATTCTTCCAACCCATGAGCATGGGATGTATTTCCATTTATTGGTGTCTTCTTTAATTTCTCTCATGACCGTCCAATTGTTTTCAGGGTATAGATCTTTCACCTCCTTGGTTAGGTTTATTCCTAGGGATTTTAATCTGTTCGGTGCGACTGTGAATGGAATAGTTTTCCTGATTTATCTTTCTGCTAGTTCATCGTTAGCATAGAGGAATGCAACAGATTTCTGTGTACTAATTTTGTATCTTGCAACTTTGCTTAATTGCCCTTAGTTCTAGTAGTTTTGGGATGGATTCTTTAGGGTTTTTATGTACTATATCATGTCATCTGCAAACAGTGAGAGTTTAACTTTTTCCTTAAGAAACTGGATGCATTTTTTTGAGTTGTCTGATTGCTATGGCTAGGATCTCCAGAACTATGGTGATTAAAAGTGGGGAGAATGGGCATCCTTGTCTTGTTCCTGATCTTAAAGGAAAAGCTTTCTGTTTTTCTCTGTTTAGTATAATGTTGGCTGTGGGCTTGTCATATATAGTCTTTATTATGTTGAGGTACTTGCCCTCTATATCCACTTTGTTGAGAGCTTTTATCATGGATGGATGTTAAATTTTGTTGAATGCTTTTTCAGCATCTATGGAGATGATCATGTGGCTTTTGTCCTTATTTTTGTTGATGTGGTGGATGATGTTGATGGATTTTCAAATATTGTACCATCCTTGCATCCCTGGAATAAATCCTTGTTAATCATGATGGATGATCTTTTTTGACATATTTTTGAATCTGGTTTGCTAACATTTTGTTGAGTACTTTTGTGTCTATGTTCATCAGGGATATTGGTCTGTAATTTTTGTGTGTGTGTGGAGTCTGCATGGTTTTGATCTTAGAGTGATGCTGGTCTCATAGAATGAGTTTGAAAGTATTCCCTTCTCTTCTACTTTTTGGAAAACTTTAAGGAGGATGGGTATTAGGTCTTCACTAAATGTTTGATAAAATTCAGCAGTGAAGCCATCTGGTACAGGTGTTTTGTTCTTAGGTAGTTTTTTTTTATTCATTCAATTTCTTTGCTGTTAATTGGTCTGTTCAGACTTTGTTTCTTCCTGGGTTAGGCTTGGGAGGTTGTATTTTCCTAGAAAGTTGTTCATTTTCTTCTAAGTTATATCATTTATTAGCATATAATCTTTCAAAGTATTCTATAATAATTCTTTGTTTCTGTGGTATTAATAGAGATTTTGTTCTCATTTCTGATTCTGTTTGTGTAGACTCTTTTTTTTCCTGAAGTCTGGCTAGGGGTTTATGTATTTTGTTAATGTTCTCAAATAACCAGCTCCTGCTTTCATTGGTTCTTTCTATTGTTTTATTTTTCTCAATTTTATTTGCTCTTGATTTATTCTGCTCTGATATTTATTATGTCTCTCCTTCTACTTTGGGTCTCATTTGTTCTTCTTTTTCTAGTTTCATTAATTGTGAGTTTAGACTGTTCATATGAGATCATTCTTCTTTCTTGTGGCAAGCCTGTATTGCAATATACTTCCCTCTTAGCATGGCCTGTACTGCATCCCACAGATTTTGTGGTGTTCAATTATTGTTGTCATTTATCTCCATATATTGCTTGATCTCTGTTTTTATTTGGTCATTGACCCATTAATAATTTAGGAGCATGTTGATAAGCCTCCATGTGGTTCTGGATGTTTTTGTTTTCTTTGCATAATTTGTTTCTCATTTCATACCTTTGTGGTCTGAGAAGCTGGTTGGTACACTATTAATCCTTCTGAATTTACTAAGGCTCTTTCTGTGGCCTAGTATATGATTTATTTTTGAAAATGTTCCATGTACACTTAAGAATGTGTATCCTGCTGCTTTTGGGTGGAGTACTCTGTAGATGTGTGTTAGGTCCATCTGTTCTAATATATTCTTCAGTGCTCTGTCTCCTTATTTTCTGTCTGGTGGATCTGTCCTTTGGAATGAGTGGTGTGTTAAAATCTCCTAGAATGAATGCATTGCATTCTATTTCCCCCTTTAATTCTGTTAGTATTGTTTCATGTATGTAGGTGTTCCGATGTTGGTTGCATAGATATTTATAATGGTTATATCCTCTTGTTGGACTGACCCCTTTAACATTATGTAGTATCCTTCTTTGTCTTTTGTGACTTTCTTTGTTTTGAAGTCTATGTTGTCTGATACAAGTACTGCATCTCCTGCTTTTTTCTATTACTTGCATGAAATCTCTTTTTCTATGCCTTCACTTTTAGTCTGTGTATGTCTTTGGGTTTGAAGTGAGTCTATTGTTGGCAGCATATAGACAGCATTTTTTAAATCCATTCTGTAACTCTATGTCTTTTGATTAATGCATTCAGTCCATTTATATTTAGGGTGATTATCAATAGATATATATTTATTGCCATTGCAGGCTTTAGATTTCTGGTTACCACAGATTCAAGGGCAACTTCTTTACTATCTAACAATCTAACTCATTTATTATGTTATTTCAAACACAATCTTAAGGTTTTTTTTTCTCCCTTTTTCTTCCTCCTTTACTCTTCATATATGAGGTTTCTTTTTCTGTACTCTTTGTGTATCCCTTGACTGACACTGGGGGTAGGTCATTTAGTTTCACATTTGCTTACTAATTAATTAGTCTATTTTACTGTGGTTTTATTTTATGTGGTATATTTAGCCTTAGAAACACTTCCATCTATAGTAGTCCCTCTAAAATACACTGTAGAGATTATCTGAGGGAGGTAAATTCTTTTGCTTGTATGGAATTTGTTTAATCCCTGCTTCAAATTTAAATGATAATCTTGCTGGGCAGAGTATTCTTGGTTTGATGCCCTTTTGTATTACTGCATTAAATATATCATGCCACTCCCTTCTGACCTGTAAGGTTTCTGCTGAGAAGTCTGATGACAGCCTCATGTGTTTTCCTTTTTATGGAATTTTTTTTCTCTTTCTGGATGCTTCTAATAGTCTGTCCTTATCCTTGACGTTTGCCATTTTAATTACTATATGTGTTGGTGTTGTCTTCCTTGGGTCCCTTGTGTTTGGAGATCTGTGTATCTCCATGGCCTGACAATCTCCTTCCCCAGATTTGGGA